CTAGTGAAAAAAATTTCACTCTATTGGATTTTAAATAAATCAAATATTTAATAAAATTAATATATTATTTATTTTACCTAGAATGTATATAATTAGGTATTAAATATCTCAGGTGATATATACCCAAGAGTACCACACTTTTTATTATAATTTTTATTATTATTATTTTTTAATTTAAAAATTTACTGCTCCTTTAATAGGTTTGTAGTCTTTAACATAGTTTCCATTATCATTAATCAAATTGTAATACATTTTTCTTGCTTAATCAAAGTCAGCTAATTATAAAAAAATATATTTAAGAAAAAAAAAGATAGATATATAATTTTTTATTTAATTACTTAGTTTTATGATTGGAACTTTAGATTTATTGCTGTCGATGTAAAGGATATTCTCAATTTTAATATCTCTATGGACAATATCATTGTAATGCAAGTAGTTAATAACATCAATTACTTAAATAGCTATTTGCATTTTCTCTTCTTCATTAAGTTAAATCTTATCTTTCTTTAATCTGTTAAAGTATTGCTTTAGGTTACCTAATAAAATAAAAATAAATAATTTGCTTGTTTTATCTATTTCAATTTATTTAATACCAGAGCATTTTTCAATTTCATATACGACGAAGTCCTCTTTTTTGGTAACATCTAGGTAAAAGAAACCATAGAATTTTATTACAAGTGGCATTTAGCAATCTCTAATTATCCCAATTTCTCTAACAATTTCATGTTTGGATGAAACTCTCTAGATTTTTAAAGCTGAGTGTCTTTTTTATGATATGTTGTAAACTCCAAGAATTAAACCAGTAGCCCCAACAGAAATGAATTCAAAATTAGAATCATACTAAGTATTTTTTAAGAGTAAATAGAGTATAATTTGATATTCAAAGATTTCAAAAGGCTTTTCTTTCAACTAATTAAATTCTTTAATCAACATTTCAAATTTTTAATCCTAAAATACAGTTTTTAGTTTATTATAAAATAAATAGATTATATTAGAAAATTAAATTTAAATTTAATGATTACCTTGTAGATTTTAGTAATTTAAAGTAGTTCAATTTCTTTTTACTTAGATTTTTCTGCTACACTCTTCTAAATTTAAAAGAGCTATTCTGCTTATTTCTGTAGTTATTTCTTTAAAAAAAAACTAATTTATGATTTATTAAAACAATAAAATTTACCTTATTTAGTATGGAGGAAATCTCAACATCTAAGTAATTTTAATTCTAAACAATGAACTGAATGAGTAAATCTACAGCAGATGTACGATTTTGAGGATTGAATTCTAGACATTGCTTAACTATCCTGTAAATTTAAGATTGTCTATTTATCTAAAAGCTTGAGAAAATATTTCCTAACTATATTTCAAGTTTTTGCTAATTTGTTGTTTCTGTGAAATCGAAGGTCTGCATGTTATCTAGCTCTAATAGCACTAAGCCAACAGAAAATATATCTGACTGATTTATTAAAATAATTTTTATTTAATTTGTATGTTTATGAAGAGATATATTATTTTTGAAATAGAATATGTAGTATTGATCAAAAAAAGAAAGAAAAAAAAAGAATAAAAATTAAGTTAAAATATTAATTATTAAATAAGTAAATATACAGCTTTTTTGAATACTCCTGAATCTACTTCTGGTGCACTGTAAGATTGAGTTCCTTTCTATATTTAAATAAAAAATATAGAAAACAAATCAAATAGAATTTTAAATACGAATTGTGAAAAATAGATTCTAGATTGATTGTTCTATAGTGCAGATGCAAAAGCTAGGTCACCTATAATTAATTTTTTATTAAAATTTAAGATATAAAACGTTTTAAAAAGAAAGTTATTTAAAGGAATTTTATTAAGGTTATTGAGACTTTTGTTAATTAAAGACCATTTAAAAATATAATTTTTAAAAATTTTATATTTTAAATTTGCAAAAGTTTAAATGTGTTTGTTTGTTTGTTTGTTTACAAATAAATATTTTATTTTCAGAACCAAATTAGTCAATTTAATAAAATTATTTGTTGAAAATTATTAAGTTTAGTATTAATTATCTAAGTAGCTTTAAATTAAAGGTTTAGAAAAAAATTCTGTCACCTCCCTTCATGCATAACTGTGGTTTCCTTAAAAATCAAACTATTAATAAAATTACCCTAACTATAAACAAGTAAAAATAAACAATAATAATAATAGTATGCAAATTATTTAAATTCAACTTTAATACATCATAAAATTTTTAATTAAAATTATTTTGTAAAGCTAAAATTCATTAAAGATTTTGTATGACTCAGATATTTAGAAGAAAAAATAAAGAAACTCAATAAAATTAATTAATCTAATATCATAATTGAACTTATGCTTATTTTAAGAAAAAAGAAAAAATATTATAAGCTTTTTCATTATTAATATTATTATATTTATTAAAATGTTGACAGTTTTGTTAATCATTAGATAGAAAGGCAAAAATTAAAATAATTTAAATTAGTGAAATAGTTAAAATTATCAAAATTTTTTTATTTTAAATTAAAAAAATTTAGCTTTAATTAAAGATATTCTAAACAAAATAGGCATTCAAAACATTTAATAATGACATATGCAAATTTTTTAAATTCAATTATACTACTTCACAGAAATTTAACTAAAAATTGAATATCAAAACTAAACCAAAAAGAAGCATTGATTAGTAAGTAAGTAATAAGTTAATATGAAAAAAATTTTTAAAACAAATTAATTTTTTATTTTATTTTAATTAATAACATTAAAATTAAAGAAATAAAAAGTATAAATATTATGATTATTATTATAATAGAGGTAGCTAGCTTTCCTAATTTTAATATAAAAAGGTAAAAATAAAATCAATTTGAATTGTGAAATTATCAAAAATAATCAGAATTTATTAATTAAAAATATCAATTTCAAAATGAAAAAATTTATCTTTCAATAAAAGCATCATAAACTGATTACACGTGTAAAAAAACAAGGACAACCAACATTAAAAAGTAGATCAAAATTAATAATTAGTAAAAATGAAGAAGCACATTAAATCAAATTAATCTTTGATAATTCTTATAGATATTCTAGCAAAGAGTGGTTGAAGGCAAAATTAATAATTAGTAAAAATGAAGAAATCCATTAAAAAAAAATTAATCTTTGATAATTCTTATTCTTATTTCAACAAAGAAGACTTAAAAATTTTAATATTTATAATGGTCGCTATTGAGTTCTTCTTACCCTTAAATTTTTTTGATAATTCTAATATAAAAAGGCAAAAATACAATCAATTTAAATTAGTGAAATTATCAAAAATAATCAGAATTTATTAATTAAAAATATCAATTTCAAAATTAAAAAAATTAGCTTTCAATAAAATATCATAAACTGATAACACGTGTAAAAAGCAAGGACAACCAACAATTAAAAAGTAGATCAAAATTAATAATTAGTAAAAATGAAGAAGTCCATTAAAACAAATTAATCTTTGATAATTCTTTTACTTATTCCAACAGAGAAGAATTAAAAATTTAAATCTTTATTTTGGTCGCTATTGAGTTAATCTTCTTACCCTTAAATTTTTTTGATAATTCTAATATAAAAAGGCAAAAATACAATCAATTTAAATTAGTGAAATTATCAAAAATTATCAGAATTTATTTATTAAAAATATCAATTTCAAAATGAAAAAATTAGCTTTCAATAAAACATCATAAACTGATAACACGTGTAAAAAACAAACAAGGTCTACAATTAAATTTTTACAAATTCAATTTTATAAAACACTAAAAATTTAAAGAAAAAGTATAGATAAAAATTAATTCTAACTCAAAAAAAATAGTATGGTTAAGTTAATAGTTAGCAAAAATGAAGAAATTCATTTAAGTAAATCAATATTTGATAATTTTTGTGCTTATCCCAAAAAATTAGACATAAAAATTTTAATCATTGCTATGGTTGAGGTAATCTTCTTACTCCTGAATTTATAATATATGTTTATTGCTTTTCGTATTTATGAATACCTGCTATCGAATCTATTTTGTCATTATGCATACACTAAAAAAATGTTATCTAAATGGGGATATTTAACTATCTATGCAATTTTCATAACGAAATAATTATACTTCAGATATCATCCTTTGAATTAAATTGATTTTATATTATTATAGCCTTTAGCCGCTCTATTTAAAAGTACATAATTGATTTTTTATATTTTGAAAGCTACGCCTTTAAATTAATACTATTTAAAAATCTGCTTTGATATTTATTCATGGTACATCTTATTTCTACCTAATAGAAGCTATTTAGTAAGTCTAATACAAATCACTGTCTTTTTTTTAATGGAGAAAATATAAAAACTTACTAAAACTAAATATTAGTTTTTACTGCTTTTAATTCTTTTTTTAAATTGGTTTTAAACTGTTAGTTAATTTGTAATTTTTTGTTAATTTGGATAAATCTTATCAATAGCAATTTACATAAATGAGAAAAATAATTTAAAATAAAGAACTGATTGATATTTATTAAATAATCTTTAATTAAAAAAAAATAAATTATATTCTCTAGTATTTATATATATATATTTACATTTAATTATAACAAAATTATTAAAACACCTAACTGAATATTTCTTTGATACGCTCTGTTAAAAAATTAAGGCCTTTCCAAATTAAGCTCCTTAAAATAATAGTTTTTTGAGAAAAGAAGCAAATCATAGGATTTGTAAAGTATAAAAAAACAAAATAATTTTGCTTAATTACATTATAAGGCAATGAAAAAATCCTTGACACAATTTATTAACATATTAAAACTTTAAAAAAATACAATACAGTGTAAGCCATTTATTTTGTCGCATAAAAATTTGTAATAATAAATCAAACTAAAACAAATTGAAATAGTGTGCTTAAATTAGAGCACAGTATTAAATTAGAATCGGCTTAAGATAGAGTATTTACAATATAAAATAAATTTAATTACAAACTTACATTTTATAAATATTTTGTGAGAGGTCTTACATTTTATTGAATATTTGCTCTGCTGATTTAAAATTGAAGAGTAATTAATAAATAGTATTCAACAGTATTTTTATTTAATTAAATGAAGATGTATTTAATTTATTAATGAAATCTTGCTTTTTTGATTTGCATATTTTTCTTAAGAAATCTCATCAATTTTATTTTTAAATTTATTATAAATATAAATTATTATATTTCCACAGCTATATGATAGATACTATTATTATTAGTTTGTAGTGATATACATACTCTAATCTATTATAATTATTTATAAGAAAAGCATGAAATAATTCTTTATAAAAGCTTTCAAAGAATTGGAACTTTCTAAATTTCCCACAACCATAAGCTTATCAACAAAATTAATTTTTAAAAATATCGATATTTAACTCCATTTATCATTTAAAAAATATTTTAAATAATTTTTGAGAGAAAAATTTTTCTAAGCTAAAAACCAAATATTTTTAAAAAGATACACTAAAACTATAAAACATTTCTTATTATTTTCGTCTAGTAAATTTATAAATTATAATGAAGTTTGTTTAAAAATGACATTTTTTAGCTCTTAATAAATTAAACAAATAAAATAAATGGCAGATGGTAAATGAAATCAGTTTAATTTCAATAAAAAATATATTTTTTTCTATTTTAAAATGAAATATTTTTTATAGCTAAAAAAAATTTTAAAATAACGCTAGTATTTTTTATATTTAAATTATATTTTTATTTAAAATAGTGATTCATTCCTATGTGTTTCCGCCATTTTTTTCTGGTTAAATAAATTGTTTGTTATTTAAAATTTTAATTTTTCCTCATTAGAGTAATTATAATTTTCATAAATAATAATTTTTTTTATATTATGTGGTATTTTTGTTAAAATATTTACTACTATTAAACAAACTATATGCTGATTATAAGCGAATACCATATTGAATTTTATTGGGAAATAAAATAAAAACTTTTTATTTACTTATTTTGTTTTCTTTGTATTTAATTATTAGAAAGATTTAAGATATGGCTAGCTGATTTCTTTTCCTATTGTAAAAACAATCAATACTATACTCAGATTTTAATAAATAAGATAAATAAGAAAGGTGTTAAATTTAGTAGAATATTTGATTTGAAATACAGTGGATTTATTTCAAATATCTATAATATTAATTAAGAAAAGGTAATAACTATTATCAAAAACTATTAAAGTTCATCAAAAAAACACTAGCTAGTAAGCAATAAAAAATCAACAGTCAACGACAAACCTTAAAAGGAAAATGTAGCAAAGAATAGAGGAAATAGCAAAAAAGACCTAGGGTTGCAGTATCGACAATCAAAGAATCTTAATGTTCTTCTAACAGTTTAGAAAGTAGCAGAAACATTACAATGATTTTGAATATTTGGGAAATGGATCATTTGCTTTGGTAATTAAAGCTTTTAACAAGACTTCTCAAAAGCATGTAGCCCTAAAAATTGTTCTATGCAACTAAAATGAACCTAACGACGCGGAGTCAGTTTTGAAAGAGTACAATTTACTTTTGAAGATTAAGAATTGTCCGTATCTTGTTGATGTTTACAATCAATTCTATGTCTATGAAGAAAAGATCTTAATCGATGATTCAGATGATGAAGAATAAATAGGAGAAAAACCTAAAAAGCAAAATGAAATATTGAAGTCCTTCTTAGTCCTAGAACTCGAGTTTTGCAACAGTAAAGATTATTAAAACATTTTATTGTTAAATTTTAGTAAAAAAGTAGATAAGAATGCAGATATCTATGAATAATATCATTCAGTTTAAACGTATGATTAAATTTCAACATTATGATAATAAACGCCATTTTAAACGTGTCAATTTAAAGGAATTAGAGTGTATACCTTAATTTTAATGGGCACATTCAAATATTTTGATGTTAAATGAATGACTTTGTTGATAGTTTTGAATTAAGATTTTAGAAAAACTCATAATAATAACTGAATTAATGAATAATCAAATAACAATAGATAGGCAAGATATTTTACTTTTTCTTGTTTTTCAAATCAATTTATTAATAAATTGACTTTAATAAACAAAGATATTTTTCTTAAATTAATTCATTAAAAAAGTAAATGAATATCCCAACTCATTTATTTGTTCATTTCATTTAATATAATACTAAAAATTTAATATAGTATTTCATTCATTTTTTACAGAATTACATACTGAATTCCCATTTAATAATTTAGTAAATATCATTTCTTTTAATTTGAATTTCATTCATTTTGATTGATTTTTCTTACTAATAATACTATGAAAATCTTAATTCATTTTCGATGGATGAATTTACTAACTAATTTATGTCTTTTTCCTTTTTCTTTTCAAACAAGCTATTAATATTGTCATCTTACCTGAATAAAGGACATTTTATTTAACATTATATTGATTTTAAGTTTTTTATTACCCCTTTATATTTATTATTAAAAAAGATGCTAGCAAATATTTTTTAATTAATATAACAAAATTTCTGGCGAAAATAATATCTATTCATTATTAATCATATTCTACAAAATAAATTGAATGTTATACCCAAAAATTATTAATTTTATAATAAATAAAAGAATAATTAAATTATTTTACAAATAAAATACTGAATCCAAAATACAATTAAATAAATAAAAATATTTATTATGTAATTATAAACTAACAAATGAAAAGCAAATAATCAATATAATCAATAATATAAGAAATATTAAGATTTAATAAAATAAACATCTCTTTATATGTTTATATTTAACAAGACAAAGAAAAAATGAGAAAAATTATAATAAAAATTGCAATTTCCAAATAAACACCAACAAGAAAATAATTAAACTAATAAGAATAATGTATCTAAAAAGTTTTAATCAAAGCATAAATTTATAAATTTAAGCATATATAAAATGGAGAAGAATGTACCAATTTTTTAAAATAATGCTAATATTAAAAATAATTTATATTGATCATATTTTTTATATTAATAGCAAATTTAGCAGACTACTTCATATATTGCAGAGATAAGAAGCAATATCCTGATAAGAAAATGAAAGAAATCCTAACTATTCAAATTCTTGATGGAATATCCTTCCTTCATTAGAAGTAATTCCTACATCGAGATATTAAGCCAAACAACATTCTTCTCAAGTTTGATAACTAAAACAATCCAATTATCAAGATTTGTAAATATTTTTTTATTAAACATTAAATATTCCTCAATAAAATTTAAATACTCTTCTCTCAATTAAAAATAAAAAAAAAATTTAATATTTTTGAATAATTTAAGATTTTGTTGATTTAAATTAAAACTTATAAAATTTTCATCAAAAAAATTAAATTAAATTTTCAGAAAATATTTAATTTCTTAGACTTAAACAAAGAAAATTACAATAAAAATTTTGTTTTTTTAGTATTAAATATTTTTTTCTCAATTTAAGATCAATAATAAAAAAATGATATATTTTTTCTAAAATTTTATGATTAACTTTAAATTATTGTGGATTAATAATAATTTAAATGATTTACAATATTTATTTGTTCAAATTACGGAGACTAGTTTTAATTTTCCATAAAATCTTAACTTTTATAAAATCTCTAACATTCCAAACAACTTTTAATTTAAAAAATTAATATTAAATTTCTTAAAAAATATAATATTTTTTAGGTGATTTAGCTTTTGCTTCTTTCATATCTCCAAGCTAATCGAAGATCCACACTAAACAGGTAAATGAATCCTATTATTTTTTTGTAATTTAAATTAAAAATATAAAAATTAGAAAGGAACTAAGGAATATATGCCTCCAGAATCTGAGTCTGACATATGGAGAAAAGAAGTAAAATTTGTTTATTTTTATAGAGATTAAAAAATAATTTTTAAAGAGTGACTTATTCTAAGTTGGGATAGTTCTATTAGAACTTGATAACATTGAAAAATTCGACTTCTTGAAGACCACAGAAAATGAAAGGTATGCTCTTAGAAACGGTTAAATATTCCCAACCTAATCTCTTGACAGAAAATCTAACATTTTCGAAATTGCTTAAACTTTCTTGAATCCTAACTTTAAAGCACGTTAATCTGCTTAAATGTTTCTTGAATAGCTTATTTGGAAAGATTAGTAATATCAAAATATAGAATTGAGTTCTATCATCATAATGGTAATAATAAAATTTTATTTCATCACTTATAAATTAAAAAAGAAGATATGTTTTAAGATTTGAGATATTATAAATTTATAAATAAATAACTCAATACAAGTTAATCATCCAATTAGAAGAATTTAAACAGTTTTATTATCATATTATGTTTCTTCATTTAACATTTAAAAGCTATGAAAGCATTTTAAAAATTAAAAAACATATAAAAATCAATAAATTATTAAAATTTACATTTTTTTTTTGATGTTTAAATAAATTTTAATTGTACTTTTAAAAAAATTATTAAAAATAATTAAAAAAATTAATTTTAATTTATCAGCCATAATTAGGGAAGAAAGTGCATGAAATACTCAATAGCAATGCTCAATAAGAATAAGATCTTAATTTAAGCTAAAATATTCAAGAATCTATGATGAAGGTAATACATTATTTATCTCTCAAACAATCAATATAAATAATTTGGTTCTACATTTTAATAATAAAATTTCTTGAAACTTAATTTTATTTATTATAAATCTAATACCTCTAAGCAAAAAAGATTTATAATATTTTAAAATATAAATTAATACTATCTCTTTGAAAAATTATTAAATATTCAGATTAAAATAAATTATAATTTGTTTTTAATACAAAATTTATATAAATTATAAATAAGTTATTAAGTTATTTAAGATTTAAATTTTATTTTAATAAAAGTCCTAAATCATGCACAAGGTAAGCTAGATCAATTAATAAAGTAAAAACTAAATCAGTTAGGTTTAAAATTCTGTTTAAGCCATGTCATAATCTTAGATTTATTAGGTAATAAATCTTTTATAAATTTATGAAATATTTATTTATTCACTTTATCAAAATCAGGATTAAATTTAGATCTTGCTGAATGATTACTAAAACTTGAAAATATAAAGAATTTTTACAGAAGAGGAGTTGAAAAAAGCAATGCTCTAACTGTTTAACAATAAAAATTATAGTAAGAGCTTTTATCTTATCAATTAAGGAGGTAAAGGAGTTATTATTGGAGGATATAATTTAAAAGATAAAAGAGATTGTGTACTGAAAATATAAAAGGTTTAATCAAAATCTAGAATAATAAAAGAAACCGGCATTCTTAAATCCTGTTAAATGGATTTAATTATCAAATTATATGATTCATTTTATCTTAATGTCATTTAAAAGGAGGATTTTATCGTATATGAGCTAGAAAAGTGCTCTTGTAAATAATTACTTTCTATTTTATTCTTAATTTTTAAAATTAAATTCTATTTATTATTTATTTATCTAAAAGGCGACCTTAAATCTTACTTAGAAAAAATGCAAAATGATTAACAATTTACTTAAAAAATTAAAGAAGAAATTGCTATTTAAATGATAGATTCTGTTAATTACATACATCAACATAATATCATCCACAGAGATATTAAGCTTTAAAATTTTTTAGTTTAAGAAAGTAATAGCTCTATCCCAATAATCAAATTAAGTAATTATTATCTTCATAATATTAATTTATTTGTTAATACTTTATAATAACAAAATTAAATTAATTTAACTGTTTATTAAACATTTTTTTGGCTAAATTTTGTTTTTATACATTTTATTTTTTATTTTTATTTGTCTTATTGAATTTTTTTTATCTTTTATTTTTATTCTTAGGTGACTTTGATGAGGCTGATTATTTAGGATCAGATTATGTGATAGATTTAGATCATTTTTATTTTACTGGAGAATTTATTATAAAATTTTTCAAAGAACCTAATTGCGATGGGGTAAAAAAATAAAAATAAATTTTAAGTAAATTTTTATATTTTGGTATAAGTGTGGAACATTTGGTTTTTGGGCACCTGAGCAAATATATCAGAAGGAATCAACAAAAGAAGTAAATTAATTAGATTAAACATTAATTAGATTTGAATTAAATTTTATTAGAGTGATGTATTTAGTCTAGGAATATCTTTATCTTTGTTAGATAATTTTTAAAAATTACAACCTGTATATCACTTAGAATGTTTGAAATTCGGTAAAGAATTTGTGGAACCTTTTCAACCTTATAAAGGTGAACTAGATATAATAAATAGACTAACATAAATTTATTAGAAAGCTATTATGCACTCTTTAGTTTATGATAAACATAAAAGAAAAAATTTATCATAAATTTTAGATGGTTTTAGATAAAATTATTTTTCTAAAGAGATAAACAAAGTAACATAAATCATTTTTATTTTCATATTATTTTAGAATTTTTTTTTTTTTTTTTCATTCTTACGATTATATTTAGGGTTATTATTTGACAAAAATATTTGTATTTATTTAATTTTATTAAACTATGGAATTAGATTTCTTTAATTAATGATCACAAAATTGCTCAAATAAATTTTAAGTAATTAAATTAAGCTTCTATTATTAATTATTTCATTTTTTTAATTAAAATAATTATGAATATAGATTGTATATTATCTTAAAATAAGGGCAAGGTTTATTTTTTATATTTTTAAATATTTAAATTTTAACTTAATTTTATAAAAAATTAAGAGTATTTTTAAACAATTTCTAAAGTAATTAAGATATAATTTCAATATTCAATATGTTAATCTTTGATAATTCGATAAAATTTTCAAAATAATCTAATCAAATAAAGAAGACATATTTTAATAATATTTTTGAAGGGAAAAATAAATTGATGCAGAAGGAGCAAAACATATTGGAATGAACTTAGAAAAGTGTAAAAATATAACTTCTTTGAATCTCAATCTTGCGTAATTTTGTTAAATATTTATTTGATTATGTTTGTTTTTTGAATTTCTAAAATATGAAAGGAAATAAAAACTTAAATAAGTGATTAATTTGTTAGGCAAAAAATATTTTTGATTGTGAATGAATGTATTCACTCAATCACTCATTTCTACATTCAAATATCTTCTTTTTTAATTTAATTATTTAATTTTCAACTTATTTATTTATTTACTTACTTACTTATCATCATCATCATCATCCATCCGTTTATTTATTTACTTATTTTAATTTTTAATTTTATTATGATTTTCAAAACAAATTCAAACAAAAAAAAAATATATTTTAATAATATTTATGAAGGGGGAATGGATTTGGTGCAGAAGGAGCAAAACATATTGGGATGAGCTTAGAAAGGTGTCAAAATATAACTTCTTTGAATCTAGATCTATAGTAATTTTGTTAAATATTTATTTGATTAAGTTTGTTTTTTGAAGTTGTAAAATATGTAAGGAAGTAAAGAAGTAAATTAGTGATTAGTTTGTTAGGCAAAAGATATTTTTGATTGTGAATGAATGTATTCACTTAATCACTCATTTCAACTTATTTATTTATTTACTTACTTACTATCATCATCCATTCATCCAATTATCTATTTACTTACTTACTTATTTATTTATTTTAATTTTAAATTTTATTTTAATTTTCAAAACAAATTCAAACTAACAAAAAAAACATATTTTAATAATATTTTTGAAGGGGTAATGAAATTGGTGTAGAAGGAGTAAAACATTTTGGAATGAGCTTAGAAAAGTGTCAAAATATAAATTCTTTGAATCTCAATCTTACGTAATTTTGTTAAATATTTATCTGATTAAGTTTGTTTTTTGAAGTTGTAAAATATATAAGGAAGTAAAGAAGTAAATAAGTGATTTATTTTAGGCAAAAGATATTTTTGATTGTGAATGAATGTATTCACTTAATCACTCATTTCTTCATTCAAATATCTTCTTTTTTAATTTAATTATTTAGTTTTCAACTTATTTATTTAATTATCATCATCATCATCATCCATCCATTTATCTATTTACTTATTTTAATTTTCAATTTTATTTTGATTTTTAAAACAAATTCAAACTAACAAAAAAACATATTTTAATAATATTTTTGAAGGGGGAATGAAATTGGTGCACAAGGAGCAAAAAATATTGGAATGAGCCTAGAAAAGTGTAAAAATATAACTTCTTTGAATCTCAATCTTGTGTAATTTTGTTAAATATTTATTTGATTAAGTTTGTTTTTAGAAGTTGTAAAATATGTAAGGAAATAAAGAAGTAAATAAGTGATTAATTTGTTAGGCAAAAGATATTTTTGATTGTGAATGAATGTATTCACTCAATCACTCATTTCTTCATTCAAATATCTTCTTTTTTAATTTAATTATTAAATTTTCAACTTATTTATTTATTTACTTATCATCATCATCATCCATCCATTTATCTATTTACTTATTTACTTATTTTAATTTTCAATTTTATTTTGATTTACAAAACAAATTCAAACAAACAAAAAAACATATTTTAATAATATTTTTGAAGGGGAAATGAAATTGGTGCAGAAGGAGCAAAACATATTGGAATGAGCTTAGAAAGGTGTCTAAATATAACTTCATTGAATCTCGATCTTGGGTAATTTTGTTAAATATTTATTTGATAAAGTTTGTTTTTTGAAGTTGTAAAATATGCAAGGAAATAAAGAAGTAAAAGAAATTAATTTTATAGGCAAAAGATATTTTTGATTGTGAATGAATGTATTCACTTAATCACTCATTTCTTCATTCAAATAATATCTTCTTTTTAATTTAATTATTTAATTTTCTACTTATTTATTTATTTTAATTTTGAATTTTATTATGATTTCTAAAACAAATTCAAACAAACAAAAAGACATATTTAATAATATTTTTGAAGTCAAAACAAAATTGGTGCAGAAGGAGCAAAATATATTGGAATGAGCTTAGAAAAGTGTCAAAATATAACTTATTTGAATCTCAGTATATTGTAATTTTGTTAAATATTTATTTGATTAAGTTTGTTTTTTAAAGTTGTAAAATATGTAAGGAAGTAAAGAAGTTATTAAGTGATTAATTTGTTAAACAAAAGATATTTTTAATTGTGAATGAATTTATTTACTTAATCACTCATTTCTTCATTCAAATATCTTCTTTTTTAATTTAATTATTTAATTTTCAACTTATTTATTTATATACTATCATCATCATCCATCCATTTAATCTATTTACTTATTTTAATTTTCAATTTTATTTTGATTTTTAAAACAAATTCAAACTAACAAAAAAACATATTTTAATAATATTTTTGAAGGGAAAACAACATTGGTGCAGAAGGAGGAAAATATATTGGAATGAGCTTAGAAAAGTGTCAAAATATAACTTCTTTGAATCTCAATCTTGTGTAATATTGCTAAATATTTATTTGATTTAGTTTGTTTTTTGAAGTTGTAAAATATTTAAGGAAGTAAAGAAGTAAATAAGTGATTAATTTGTTAGGCAAAAGATATTTTTAATTGTGAATGAATACATTCACTCAATTACTCATTTCTTTATTCAAATATTTTTTTAAATTTAATTATTTAATTTTCAACTTATTTACATATCATCATCATCCATCCATTACTTATTTTAATTTTTGAATTTTATAATGATTTTCAAAACAAATTCAAAGTAACAAAAAAACATATTTTAAAAATATGTTTGAAGGAAAAACAATATTGGTGCAGAAGGAGCAAAACATATTGAAATGTGCTTAGAAAAGTGTCAAAATATAACTTTTTTGAGTCTCAATCTAGGGTAATTTTGTTAAATCTTTATTTGATAAGTTTGTTTTTGAAGTTGTAAAATATGTAAGGAAATAAAGAAGTAAATTAGTGATTAATTTGATAGGCAAAAGATATTTTTGATTGTGAATGAATGTATTAAATCAATAAATCATTTTTTCATTCAAATATCATCTTTTTTAATTTAATTATTTAATTTTTAACTCATTTATTTATTTGCTTACTTATCATCATAATAATCATCATCATCTATCCATTTATTTATTTACCTATTTACTTATTTTAATTTTCAATTTTATTATGATTTTCAAAACAAATTCAAACAAACAAAAAAACATATTTTTATAATATTTTTGAAGGATAAGCAACATTGGTGCAGTAGGTGCAAAACATATTGGAATGAGCTTAGAAAAGTGTCAAAATATAACTTCTTTGAATCTCAATCTATTGTAATTTTGTTAAATATTTATTTGATTAAGTGTATTTTTTGAGGTTGTAAAATATGTAAGGAAGTAAAGAAGTAAATAAGTGATTAATTTGTTAGGCAAAAGATATTTTTGATTGTGAATGTATGTATTCACTCAATCACTCATTTATTCATTCAAATATCTTCTTTTTCAATTTATTTATTTATTTACTTACTTATAATCATCATCTATCCATCCATTTATCTATTTGCTTATTTACTTATTTTAATTTTTAATATTATTATGATTTCAAAAATAAATTCAAACAAACAAAAAAACATATTTTAATAATATTTTTGAAGGGGTAATGAAATTGGTGCAGAAGGAGCAAAACATATTGGAATGAGCTTAGAAAAGTGTAAAAATATAACTTCTTTGAATCTCAATCTTACGTAATTTTGTTAAATATTTATTTGATTAAGTTTGTTTTTTAAAGTTGTAAAATATGTAAGGAAGTAAAGAAGTAAATAAGTGATTAATTTGTTAGGCAAAATATATTTTTGATTGTAAATTTACTTAATAATCATCACCATCCATCCATCCATTTATCTATTTACTTATTTTAATTTTCAATTTTATTTTGATTTTCAAAATAAATTCAAACTAACAAAAAACATATTTTAATTAAATTCTTGAAGGAAAAACAAGATTGGTGCAGAAGGAGCAAAACATATTGGAATGAGCTTAGAAAAGTGTCAAAATATAATTTCTTTGAATTTCAATCTTGGGTAATTTTGTTAATATTTATTTGATTAAGTTTGTTTTTTGAAGTTGTAAAATATGTAAGAAAGTAAAGAAATAAATAAGTGATTTATTTTAGGCAAAAGATATTTTTGATAGTGAATGAATTTATTCACTCAATCACTCATTTATATATACAAATATCTTCTTTTTTATTTAATTATTAAATTTTCAACTTATTTATTTACTTACTTATAATCATCATCTATCCATCCATTTATCTATTTACTTATTTACTTATTTTAATTTTCAATTTTATTATGATTTTCAAAATAAATTCAAACAAACAAAAAAACATATTTTAATAATATTTTTGAAGGATAAACAACATAGGTATAGAAGGAGCAAAATATATTGGAATGAGCTTAGAAAAGTGTCTAAATATAACTTCTTTGAATCTCAATCTTACGTAATTTTGTTAAATATTTATTTGATTAAGTTTGTTTTTTGAAGTTGTAAAATATGTAAGGAAATAAAGAAGTAAATAAGTGATTATTTTATTAGGCAAAAGATATTTTTGATTGTGAATGAATGTATTCACTCAATCACTCATTTCTTCATTCAAATATCTTCTTTTAAATTTAATTATTTAATTTTCAATTTATTTATTTACTTACTTACTTATCATCATTATAATCATCATCATCCATCCATTTATCTATTTACTTATTTTAATTTTCAATTTTATTATGATTTTCAAAACAAATTCAAACAAACAAAAAAACATATTTTAATAATATTTTTGAAGGGGGAATGAAATTGGTGCAGTAGGAATAAAACATATTGGAATGAGCTTAGAAAAGTGTCAAAATATAACTTCTTTGAATATCGATCTTGTGTAATTTTGTTAAATATTTATTTGATTAAGTTTGTTTTTTGAAGTTGTAAAATATGTAAGGAAGTAAAGAAGTAAAAAAGTGATTAATTTGTTAACCAAAAGATATTTTTGATTGTGAATGAATGTTTTCACTCATTCAAATATCTTCTTTTTTAATTTAATTATTTAATTTTCAACTTATTAATTTATTTATTTACTTACTTATCATATATCAGATAGTCAGA